AGTAGTAGTAATAGTAGTAGTAGCAGCAGCAGCAGTAGTACTAGTACGAGTAGTCGTAGTCGTAGTCTTCGTCGTAGTCGTGGTCGTAGTTCTGATTGTAGGTGTAGGCGTAGTAGTTTTCGAAATCGTAGAATTAGAAGAAGTATTTGTAGTATTAGGAAGAGGAAGAAGAGGAGTAGGAGGAGGGCGATTTGAGGTGGGTTAGTAGAGCCGGGGGCAGTGGGAGGAACGGAACGCGATGATATCGAGGAAGAGGAGGGTCAGCAGCAAGAGGGTGACGAGAAGACGGGGGAAGGTGAGCAGGGCGATGAGGTGGTGGCCGCAGAGGAATGCAAGGAGGTCACGAAAGGGGGTGGGGATGATACCGATGAGGAGGAGGAGGAGGAGGAGGAGGAGGAGGAGGAGGAGCAGAAGGTCGAGCAGGGAGACGGGCGCAATGTTGAGGAGCAGGAGGAGGAGGAGAAGGAAGAGAAGGAGGAACTATCAGGAGAACAAGAGGAGGAGGAAGAGGAGGAGGAGGCGGGGGCGGAGGAGGCGGAAAAGGAGGAGGATGAGGAAGAGGAGGAATAGGAGGAGCAGGAGGAGTAGGAGGAGCAGGACGACCAGGAGGAGGACCAGTGTGAACCCAAGACGCGTCAACGATGTTGACATACTCCTCCCTCCAAGTTGCCCCATCATAGGTTCTACAAGACTCAATTTGATTCCAGGAAGTGCCCCATTTGAATACAATTGTCTTGTAATCTCTGCCCACACACAATTCCTGGGATGTCAGCTCCCCGAATCGAGGTGGCGGTTGCGTTACGACAATCTTAAATCGTGCCGGAGAACCATTCGTAGGCTTTCAACACCAGGGATCGACGTGATTTGCTGCGCCCTGACACTTCTGATTCGCGCCAGAATGCCATGCCTGTGACTTGAACCATACGGCCCCGTGAAACCGTTGCGAATGTTTAAGACGAGTGTGTGCGGCGCTAGAGCGTGAGCCCCCGGTTTGAAAAGGAATCGCCCTCCATCCTTGAAGCTCTTGCACATGATTGAGGCAAATGTGCGCGGCGCTAATGGAGGAAGCAACAGTGTGAAAAGGACCGGGCCTGTATTCTTGAACCTGTTGCAAATGTTTGGAACCAATGTGCGTGGCGCTAGGGCGAACGCCACACCTTGAGAAGGGGCCGCCCTTCATACTCGAATTTCTCGCAAACTTTTCAGACGATCGTGTGCAGCGCTAGGGCAAGAACAACATTTTGAAACTGGCCTGCCCTGTATCCCTGATCATGCCGCGAACTTTTAAAACGAGTGCGCGCTGCGCCAGGGCGAGAATCCAGTTTTACAATCACCGCCCCGTATCCTTGAACCTGTTGCAAGTGAGTTTCAGGCGAAATTCTGGCCCGCCCTGTGGACACGCCTGGAGGTGCGACATGGAGGACTGATTAATAAGGAAGCGAGATGGAAGAGGCTGAGGACGAGGAGGAGGACGACGAGGAGGGAAAGTGGGGAATGAGAAGGAGTGGGAGGAGCATGAGGAGGCCAGGGAGGGGCAAGAGAAGGATGAAGAGACGGAGGAGCGCGTGGAGTAGGAGTTGGAAGAGGATGGCGGGAGGGAGGGAGGAGGGGGAGGAATAGGAGGAGGAGCAGGCAGAAGAGGAACGCGAGGAGGACGTGGAGGAGGATGGGAAAAGGGTGGAGGAGGAGGGGGGTAGGGCGAGGGACTCGAGGAGAAGCACCAGAAAGGAATAAGAGTTTGAGCAGGAGGAGGAGGTGGAGTAAGATGATGAGGTGGTGGTGTAGACAATCAAGACCAGCACCAGGCCGATGTCGTGCAATCGATGTCGAGAGCACAGGCCAGCTCGTCATCATCGTAATTAACAGCATCACCATCAGCCTCTGTATCAAACTCAGAATCACCATCACGATAAGCGTCCTCATCCTCACTATCAAAATCACCAGCCTCCTCCTCATCATAACCGTCATCGTCGCCAGCATTAACACCAGCATCCTCAGCATCAGCATCGTCATCGCCACCATCATCACCAGCCTCATCAGCCTCATCCTTATCATCATCAGCAGCGTCATCCTCCTCATCATCCTGGTCATCCTCATTATCCTCAGCAGCATCAGCAGCATCATCCTCATCATCGTTATCATCATCCTCATCCTCATCATCATCAGCATATTCCTCCTCATCATCATCAACATCATCATCATCATCATCTTCCTCCTCCTCATCATCAGCATTCTCACCATCAACACCATCAACATCATCATCATCATCATCATTGCCATCATCACCATCACCATCAGCAGCATCTCCCTCCTTGTTCTCTTCCTCAGCGGCTGCGCAGCGCCCTCCCGGCCCGCCGCCGCTCCGGCCCGGGCCCCGCGCGCAGCGGGACGCGTGCCCGCCGCGCGGCATCGCGGCCGCGACACCGCGGGGGCGGCGGCGGCGGCGGCCGCGGCCGCGGCGGCCGCGAACGTAGCGGCGGCGCGCCGGCCGCGGCAGGCGGCGTCGCCGGCGGGGGCGCGGGCACGTCCGGGGCCCGAGGGCCCCAGGACGGCGGCCGCGAACTCTCCTCCTGTCCTCTTTCCTCCTCCTCCTTTCCTCCTCTTGTCCTTTCTCCTCCTCAGCTCTCCTCCCGTCCCCCTCCTCCTCCTGCTCTCCTCTCCGCCTCCTCCTCCCTCGTGCCCTCCTCCTCTCTCCTCCTCCACCACCTCCTCCTCCTTCCTCCTCCTCCTCCTCCTCCTCTCCTCCTCCTCCTCCTCCTCCTCTCCTCCTCCTCCTCCTCTCCTCCTCCCCTCCTCCTCCCTCCTCCTCCTCCTCCTTCCTCCTCCTCCTCCTCCGCTCCTCCTCCTCCTCCTCCTCCTCCTCCTCCTCCTCCTCCTCCTCCTCCTCCTCCTTTTCCTCGTTCCCATTTCTTGTCATGCCGGCGGAGGATTAGCAGAGGATGCTGAACGAACATTGTTTTCTTGGGGTTCATCAGAGACACGGTCGTGCGCTAATGGGGTCAGGGAGAGGACCGAGAGTCGTTCACACGGCGGGCGCCGGCTTTACGGGTCCCCCTCCTCCTCCTCTTCCCCTCTAGGGCGCTGGGTCCTCCTCCTCCTCCTCCTTCTCCTCCTCGTCCGCGATGTCCTCGATGCACGACGTGAGGGTGGTCCGCTCAGCAGAGCAGCTCGTCTACCATCGGGCTGGCCAGTCCGGCCAGGCCAGGACCACGAACAGCCCACCTGGGAGACAGCGCCCCAGTTCGGGCTTGTGATGTCCCAACCTACCTTAGCCTTGACCACCAGAAAGAATGTCGGACACCCCAACAAGTGCCGAAACTCGAGGGCTTCCACGTGTCGGGCCCTGGAAGACACTCGTCCGACTCTGTTTCGGCACTGTTTCGACACTGCTTTGATCCTTCTCTGGGTGCTCGAAGTCATCTACGGGATCTGGCCCTTCAGCACGATGGGATCAACATAAAGTTCGGGCCCGCCCGAGCTTACGAGGGTGGAGCGGGGCCCGAGCCGGCGAGGGAGAGCGGGCACCCCCCAACACAACAGGGCTGGACCTAAACGGTGTTTTTGGTGATTTCGTGGGCCGTTTTCGTTTCGACTTCGTTTTTCAGCAACGGCGGATTGGAGACAAAAGCGAGGGAGCACGAAGACAAAACGAGATCGAAAAACACCTTTTAGGTTCAGCCCTGCAGCACAAGTCAACACCGGGCCTCTCCCTTCCCGCCCGCAGCTCCTGCCCAGGGCCGGGCGAGGCACTCGAGCGCTGCCGTCCGACCGCGCCGCTGCGGCGGGGATTCCCGGAGGGGGCGGGGCAGCGGCACCCGTCTGCGCCCTGCTGCAGGCCCTGGCGCGACCTGCAAGCGCGCGATCGTCACGCCGCGCCTGCCTGTACGACCCCCCTTCGGGTGATAAGGAGGTTGTGTGGGGGGGGGGGGGGAAGAGGGGGGGGGAACCGACATCTGACTCAATCGATCTCACTATCGATCTCACTCCACGGGACACCAGATGACACCACGGGACACTTGTGTCGATCTCACTAGTCCCGGCCTCCCAGGTGGGGTCCGAGTGGACGGGGTTGGTCGATCGCGCCGCATCGCCCGCCGATGCATCGCCGATGCGGCTCGATGTGGGGCCCGATCTTCTCCACGCCGGCGTCGCCGCTGCAGCGCCGACGCGTCCACGGTGCATCGCCGAGGCATCGGGCGATGCATCGGCGACGCGTCGGCGATGCGGTGAGCGGAGGCGGCGGGTCTGGGAAGAGCTGGGCACGGGGGCAGATACCCGTCGGGCACTTCGGGCGCTTCGGCAGCCCAGAGATCCCCCCCCGACAAGCTGTCGAGTGGCCCTTCGGCTAGCTCTGCCATATCGGGGTGGGCCGGGGCGGGGTAGGGGGCAGCTGTTAGGCCATCCGAGGGCACCCTGCCGAGTCAGCGCTTCGCTCTGTTTTTCCGCATAACACGATGAGGCAAGGTAGGGAATCCATGTCCGCTGTGACACCCGTTGGCGCATGCAGAAGAGGGCAGCTGAGTGGGAGGGGAGGGGTGGGAGGAGAAGGACGTCAGCGATGGCGCGAGCGCACCTACTAGCTCGTCGCACCCCTTCTCTCCTCCTCCTCCTCCTCCTGCTGCTCCTCCTCCTCCTCCTCCTCCTCCTCCTCCGCCTTCTCCTCCTCCTCGTCCTCCTCCTCCTCCTCCTCCTCCCTCTCCTCCTCCTGCTCCTCCCCCCTCCTTCCTCCTCCTCCTCCTCCTCCTCTTCCTCCTTTCTCCTCCTCCTCCTCCTCCTCCTCCTCCTCCTCCTCCTCCTCCCTCCTCCTCCTCCTCCTCCTCCCTGTCCTCCTCCTCCTCCTCCTCCTCCTCCCCTCCCCTCCTCCTCCTCCTCCTCCTCCTCCTCCTCCTCCTCCTGGCCCTTCTGTTCACCCCCGCCCTCCCTCGGCTCCCCGCCTCCTCCTCCTCTTCTACGCCACCCCCTCCTGCCCGCACCCAGCTCGTCGCACCCCCCCTCCTCCTCTCCTCCTCCTCCTCCCCTCCTCCTCTCCTCCTCCTCCTTCTTTACGTTGCCCATTCCTGATGCGTCTGCATGTGGCGTTCTTCCTCCTGCTCCTCTCCTCCTCCTCCCTTCTCCTTCTCGCCCCCTCCTCCTCCTGCTCCTCGCCCCCTCCTTCCCCTCTCCTCGCCCCCTCCTTCCCCTCTCCCGTCCCATTTCCGCCTCCCGTTCCGTCCCCTCCTCACTTTCCTGCGGATCCTGCTGCTGCTTCCTGGCCATGGTCCTCCCCGTCCTCGTTCGCGACCTGGTCCCCCTGTCCCCTCCCCAATCCCCCCCCCGTTGTTCTCAACGTCCTCGTCGTTGTCCTCCTCCTTCTCCTCCTCCTCCTCCTCTTTCCTCCTCCTCCTCCTCCTCCTCCTCCGCCTCCTCCTCCTCCTCCTCCTCCTCCCCCTCCCCCTCTTCCTCCTCCTCCTCCTTCTCCTCAGCTCTGTGAGTCGTTACCAGCCTTTGCAGGCCAGGCATACGGTACAGTCAAAGCGCATACTCCAAGGTGACCCTTGCATCGTTGCCCCTTCTTCGGCTCTTCCTTGGCGACTTTCGCTCGCCAACTCCGTTCGAAAACCGTGAGCATGGCCCTCCAAAGCCATTCCATCCTTACCGCGCATCCTTATGATGCGTTTTGACTGTCGGTTCATGCGGCGTTGGCGCCGGCGACGCCGGCGAAGACGCTCATCAACGGCACCGTAACGGGTACTTACTAACGGGTACTTTGAAATGTTGCCGAAAGTTGCCACTTTAGGGCCTGTTTCTTGCATTGCAGCTTTGCCCACATCGGGAAGGGTTGGGTTCGCTGGGTCACTGGCCAAAGTACCCGTTAGTGGAGTCCCCGTTTGAGGGGCGCTGAGCTCAAGGTTAAATTCTGCCGCGCGGAAGCACCGAAGGACTCGGTGACGCCATTGGGCCGACGGAATTCAGCCTGGAACGATCGGGGCCGCGATCCATCCAGGGTTGCACGATCGGCGCGGCGTCGAACAATGCTGTGCGCGCCGACGCTGCACGAACCCACCGTAACCACCTCGTGCTCTTCCCGGCCTGTCTTCCCCCTCGTCGCCCCTCAGGGCGCGCGGGGGATGTCGGGGGCGCCCTTCGTGGACCACTACGCCGCGCTGGGTTGCTCCCCAGAGGCTCGGGCCCCGCCGGCGGGGGGAGCCACTCGCTTCCACAACCTCCAAGCTCGAGATTCGACGCTCGTCATGGGAGCCCGTCCCCCTCGGTTCCGTGCGTGGATTTCCCCATCTCTTCCTGGGCTTTTGATTGGACGTCTGAGCGCCTCGGGGGGAGAGGGGGGAAGGGCCTCGGCGAGAGTGTGCGGACGAGTGGAAGTGGGAGGAAGGCGATGAACATCAGGAGGAGGGGCAGGGTTGAGAAGGAGTGGGAGGAGAGGGTGGAGGAAGAGGAATAGGACAATGATTGAGGGAGGAGAGACAAGAGGAGGAGGTCAGTAATGAGAGGGATCACGCTAAGTTCGCGCTGGCAGAAAGAGGCCGAACACATGCGTAGTTGTAGGTTGCTTTGGGGAGCGGGTGACTGAAGCTATTCTCGACCCCGACCCTGCACGGGGGGCAACGGTCATTGCAAAGGCGATGCGACGGAAAACAGAAAGGGTTGCGTACGTTTTTACAACAGCTTGCGTAGATGCAACGAGGGGGGGCCGCACGGTGACTCGGCCGTCGCCGTTGTGGGGCTCAAAGAAAGCCGATGCAGGCTGCCCCCCGTTATTTTTTGGGAGAGTCGCTCCGTTCGGCAGGCACCGCCGCGATCGTCTGGGCGGCGCGGACCGACTGCCTGGCTTGCGTGTGCAAGCTTGCGCTGAGTTGCGGCGCCGGCGTCGGCGTGCCAGTCGGCGACGGGCCCGGCTGGCTGGAGGTGGTGCTCAGCTACTTGGCCCTGGCCTTGGTGTTCCTCGCTGGGGCCGTCGCGGGCTGGCTGGGGCACGCGCTGCTGGCGGGTCGCTGGGCAGCGGCCGAGCTTCGGGGCAGCGCCCGCACGCTGAGCCTGGAGGACCTGGCGCGGGAGCAAGCCGCAGCGGCGAAGGCTAGGCAGACCAGTCTGGCTGCAGCGTAGCCATGGCGGCTCACCCGCTGCTGGGCCTTGGCCCCGCGGTGGGCGACTTCGTGCTGATCCGCTACGGGGTCGGTGGCCGCCGCGTGTGGCACGAGCGGTTCGTGCTCGCCCTGGGCACTGCCTCGCCGTGGCCCGCGGGGGTCCTCGCGCCAGATGGCGACGCGTACTCGGCGGTGTTCATCGGCGGTGGGGACATTTTGGCCTGCCTGCTGTGGGCTGGCGGTGCGGTTGGCAGGGCAGCAGCTGGGACCGACGGCGACGGCATGTACCGCTTCAGGAGCGTGCCGTTGGCGGCGACGACCGCCCAGCTTCAGGCAGATGTCGAGACCGCCCTCGACCTCCCGCCAGGGCCCTCCCGCCACGGCCGCCCGTGGTGCCGAACAACGGCGGGGGGCCGATCGCCGCAGGTGCTCACGCGCTCGCAGTTGGCGCGTTGGCGCCCCCCGCAGGTGGCACTGCAGGCGGCGTGGCTGGGCTGGCGGCTGCCCCTGGCAGCGGAGGAGTCGGAGCAGGCGTTGCAGCTGGGGGTCCGCCTGCTGGGCTTGCGCCCGCCCCAGGCGCTCTGGCGGCAGCAGCCCCTGCTGCCCCTGGCGCCGCTGGCGGCGGGGCCCTGGTAGCGGCGCCCGCTCCAGCAGCGGCGGCGCCCGCCGCGCCCGCGGGGGCGGCCGCTTCCCCCGACGCCGCGGGGTCGTAGCCGATGCGGCCGCCGCGGCTGCTGCCGCGCCAGGCGGCGACCTGCGGATCATGGCAGTGCGGCACGACATCCGCGGCGAGCGGCACAGGGCGTTCGGAGACGCAGTGAGGCAGCTGGTGGAGGCCCCGTTCGGAGATTGGCCGATCGCAGGACCGCGCGCGCTGATGTGGGTCGCAGTCTTCATCCACCGTGTTGCTGGCACGCCGCTGGCATGGCATCTGATGTGGCGAGCCGGTGGAATCCTCAACGATGACGAGACAGGTGTTAGCAACCACGAGTTCATGTGCCGCTTGCTCGAGGTCGGGCTTTGTTACGAAGAGTTGCATAGCTCGATACTGGCGTCGATGGAGCTCGTGGCCAGGGCGATTCAGACCGAGAATGGGCGATACCGCCACCGCTTCGAGAGCGCTCCCGGTTTCACTGCGAACAAGAAATTGATGACTGGCCTCGCGCATGGTCGTGGCCACATCTGCGTGTCACCCTTGCTGCGAGACTTCGTGTCGCAGCAATTGCAGAAGGACGGGGCCATCGCAAAGGAGAGGCGGAAGGCCAGAGGGGAAAGAGCGCTTGCCAGCGGCGGCGGCGTTCGAGCAGACGGAGAGGCCGAGGGGGCCGAGGGGGGCAGAAGAAGGGCGGCGGGCGCGGCGCGGCCGCCGAGGAATCGTGAGCACATCGCTCGTGGGCGGCCTGGGAGACCAGCGGGCCGCCCCTCAGGGTCAGGGGGCCGGCTTGGCGGCTGCGTGCTGCCATGGGCCTGGAGGGCGCCAGCGTGACATTTTTCCATTGCCTTTACTGGGGACCCGCGCGTCAGTGCCCTCTGCGTTGCGACGTCGCCGCTCGCAGCGGTGACAGGCCCTTCGCGCTCGCCGCCGGACTCGGCTCAACGAGGCCATTGCGTCGCTCAGCGCACTCTACGGCTGCCGCAGCGCCGTTGGCGAGCCCGTTAACGAGTGCCAGCGCGTGGCCCTTGCCAGTATGAACACCGCTCTACATCTTTTGGGTGGTCAACCTAATGCGCATGCAGAGACGCGCGAGCATGCGGGCGGGGCCCTCGAGGAGCTCCCCCGCGGCGCGTCGATCTACGGCGATCATGCGCCAAGCCCGTCAGTCCCCTGCAACCTAGAGCAGATCACATGACCCGCCTCTGCCGGCAGCCCGATGAGTGCATCTACATTGGCGAGCAGTTACGCGGAGGGGCGGTTGAGGAATTGGCGGGGCCATATGCGTCTACTTGCGCAGGAGGCCGATCAGCTCGTGACGTCCGCGCGCCCCCGCTGGTCTCACTGCGATTGGAAGCTTATCGGCGACGCACATAACTGCGCAGAGTTCCCGGGTGAACTCTGCGCCCGCGGGGTGGTCATCTTCTCAGAGGAAGTGGGCGTCAAGGGATATGTGGGCATGTTCTTCGCCCCCCAGAAGACTTGAAGCCAGCGCGGGAGATTTGATGCACGCATCGCAAACTGTTATTTTCAGCCTCCACACAAGTCGAGGCCCCCGACCGCATCGGCCTGGAGCTCACTGGAGGCGCCCGAGTCGTGCGCCGACATTGCCACTGCCGGTTTGGAGTGCGCCTTCTACCACATGCGGCTGCCCGACGGCGCGGAGCGTTATTCCGCTCTCGCAGCCATCGACGCGACCTTCTTGACGGTCGTTGGCATGACGGACTTCGCATTCGAGCCAGGGCAGATGGTGGCTGCAAAGGTTGCAGCGCTGCCGATGGGCTCCTCGCGGGGCCTCCACTTGCGCCGAGAGGTCCCGGCTACTTGCTTGCTTCGCAGTGGCGTCGACCCGCCCGGCGCCATCGTTGACGGGCAGGTCAGCATCCGCCTAGGCCCGACACGGCCCGTCGCCGCTGGCGCCTGCGCGTGCAACGTCACCACCGTGGGCGCGACGCCGAATTTCGCCAACGACCTGCTCTACACCTTCGTGGCAAGCCTCGGGGTACTGGTCCGATGGTCCGCGAGGTTTGCGACGCCTCTGCCAATGTCGAGTTTCTCGGGGCGCGGCTGCGCGGCGGTCTCGCGCTGGCCATCAAGGCGCGGAACGTCTGGAGGCTGCGAGCTGCCGCCAGAGCCGCGCCACGGGGGAGGTGGACCACTGGCTTCGCGCTGCGGGCTGTGCAGGGCCACGTCGCGTGGGCCGCCATGATCCGCAGGGCGGCTCCGACAGCGCTGCGCGCCTGCGACGCCTTCGTCGAGGCGCTCGGCAGCCGCGCGGGGCGCCTGTGGGACTCTGCCGCCCGTGAGCTCGGGGCGGCCCGCAGCCTGCTGCCGGCTCCGCAGTCCAACCTCGATCGCTTCGGGATGGCGCGGCGCGGCCGCGCGCAGCGAAGCAGCGACCCGCGGGCTCGGTCCGGCTCGGTATGGCTCGGGGGCGGCTGCCCCCCGACGAGGTGGCGGACTGCGGCCGCTTTTCGACGCGCCAGCGTTTCAAAGCCGCCGGCGGGCAGGCAGCCCGCGCGCGGTCTCTTGCCGCGGGATCGGTGGCCGAGCAGCAGTCCGTGAATAATGAGATGACTCGTGAATCCCAAAGAGCCAAATCCCCTGGGCCCCTTCGGCACCCGGCGCGGCCCTTGCGTGGGCCAGGCAGGCAGGCCTCCATCCAGCTGGGCCTCCAGCTGGACCTCCAGCTCGCCGTCGGCCAGCGCCTCTCAGGCGCGATGACCCCCGCGGACGTCTCGCAGGCATCGGGCGCGGGCAGGCTTGAGCAGGATCTCGCCGGGGCCCTCATGGACTCGAATGGATCCAGCGTTCGTTTCGAGTGCCCTCAGCGATTACTGACAGCCCTGGGTGGAGGCCCACGGCGGCCTCCAAGGTCTCGGGTGGGGCCAACATCCGGTTCTTGAAGCGGAGGCCATCTGCTTGGCCTACTGTCGTCTTCTTCGGGGCTCAGGCAGTGCAGGACGAGGCGTTGATCGATAATTTGCCGTTGGCCCTCGGCGTAGTCAAGGAAGGTCCAAGAGTCGGCGCCTGCGGCGTTGTCTCTATCGGATATGCGCGCTCTCAGTTGCGTCAGGCTCGAGGCCCCGCGCGCGTTGAGTGGCGCCCGAACGGAACCCTTCCGACGCCGTCAGCCGGGGCCGACATGGCTGGTTCAGCGGCCAGCGGGAGCTGCGGGGGCCGCTGCCGAGGCCTGCTGGCCGCCGCGGTGGCGGCAGGCATGGTGGGCCCCAACGGCGCCGCAGCAGCGCGGGGCTCGCGCGCGCGCCGAGCCCCGTGGCGGCAGCGGCCCAGAGGCGGAGGCTGGCGCAGCAGGCGATCGCAGAGAGGCCGATTCTGACCCGGCCCACCTTGCTAGAGACTCTGGCCGTTCGCTCCAACACCGAGCGGAGCTGCCGCCATCATCTGCGGACCTTCGTCGATTGGT